TAATAGCAGTAAAAGTTAAAAGAGCTTCTTACGCAGCTCGATCTATTAAAATAAATGGACTAATATAACAAGAAAAGTTAGTTTTGGCTTCGCCGCAGCTCTTGAGTACTCTTCACATAGACAATTTTAGTTTGATTCATTTTTCTTATTTTATATATTTTTCAGCTTTATTCACAATTCCTGAGTTAGTTATTTTGCATGAATATAGTCCATCAATCAATCTGCCTGAATTGTTCTTCTGCAAACCGATACCACATTAACCTTTCGGTTAGCTCTAATGCTAGATTTTTTATTAGTTTATATATTGTTTTTTTTTTACTAGTAGATTTTTATTGGTTCTTTATAATTTTGAAACTAACAATAACTTATTAAATTTTAAGCTCTAGATATAATTTATACAATATCTTTTTTTTAACTTTTAGAAAGTATGTCCTTATATTAGAAACCTTCACGTGATTAAAAAGCCTTGTACGTTAATATTATTAATTTTTCCACTATCTTTTTTAATTACGTTCTCGGTGTATTTATATATTAATATTGTAGCCTTCAAATTATTTTTACATGCACACTACAGTCTCTAAACCAAAGTTGGACTCCATAGTTTTGAATTAGTTAAATTACGGCTTTAAAAACTAGAACTTTATTCTCCAAACTCATTGTAGCTATTATTGAATTTTAATTTTTAATTTAATTTTTTCGAAATTATTTTTTTATCTTAAATATATTTGTACTTGTGAGCACGCTATAAGGTTTCTGTCGTATACTCACTCTATAGAACGCTTATGCTATATACAGAGTCATATACTCATATGTAGTAATTAGTGGTGTTACAGCCATCGTAGTTGATGTCTATCAATGAGATGTCAAATTTTGAAATTAAATGTCAAGCATGAAAAGTTAAATAAAAGCACTTCAGTCTCGTTCGGAATCGGGATCGAAGTTGTTATATTTGGAACTATATGCAATACAGTACATTTGCTGTCTGCATCTACCAATATTAAAATATATTTTCCTCAGATTGGCCCAGCGAAATCCACATGCAATTGTTCAAATACGTTTCTTGGTCGCAATCAGCAATCACCGTGTACTGAAAAACATGTTTTGTTGCAGTGTTTTTACAATATATTATATGTAGATTATATTGTCAATTGAACCTGTCTCCTTAACCTCAAGAAATGTTAAGGGTTATTACACACCACTGCTAGTATGGTTGGTTGGTTGCAGTGGCAGGTCATAAGATAACTTCAAATGTACCTCAATTAGCGATTTTTCGCCGTTTTGTTACCACATTCCTCGCAAGAACCCTAGTATAGAAGAGTAGAGACTAAATCCATCCCACCGAATTTAGGTAATTTAACAGGTCTTTCATCCTTACCATTGAGCAGTCTGATAAACTATCACAAAAGTATTTTCCTAAAAACCTATATCTTCTGGATGCTAGAGCTGGGCATTCACAGAGAAAATGTATTACTGCTAGTATACTTTCATTAAAATATTTGTCCTCTTTGCATGCCGATTGACTGACCTTATTCTAGTGATGTTATGATATCATGTTTTGTTCTTAATCCAAAATGATGTTTAGATAGAATAGTTTTACTTTAAGACACTGTTACGATTTTTACAATAATTTTTCGAAAATTTTTAAAATTTCGTTGGTAAGCATTTTTCAGGGATTTTTTCCAGATTTTGGCATCATATTTAAAATTTTTCATGCATAATACTCTTTCTTCTTATGCATGGCCCCTTTTTTTAAAATTATTTTTATAAAGAGGTATTTCGAAAAGTAGTGAACTATAATAACAAAAATTATTTTTATATTATTTTAATTAATTGAAATAATACCCATCATCAGTGGTCTTGGAAATAATTCTTGTATTTAATTATTCGTAAATAATTTTTTTTTTTTTCAGACTACAAATATCAGGAATCAAACTCGTGCCCTGCCGAATTTGAAGCTCAGAATCAGCGTTCATAAAACAACTGATCCAAAGTCGCACTTGATTTTTAGGTTATTTTTATGGAATTAAATTCAATTTAGCTTTTTATTAAAAAAATGACTAAACATTCAGTTAAATTTATACTGAATGAATATTATATTTATATTGAGATAGTTATTTACAATAAGGCCGTATGCGAGTTCAGGTAAATTGAGGTAAAGTAAATTGAAATTTTCTAGGAATTTTTTGCAGTGCACTTATATAAATATTTATTTACTGTGCTTATTTATTATTTTTGGTTAAAAGTTTCCAAATTTATTTATTTATTTATTAAATATCTTATAAGATTTTCACAATGGTAACACCTGAGTTACCTAATTTTTATCTAATTTATCCTACTCGAAATTTTAGTAAATACCAACATTCGCTGCCATACCAACATAATTTACTATTTTCCTCACTTTACCGTCAATTTACTCGAACTCGCAAACGGCCTAAGTATTCATTGTATTAGGTAAAAATAGGATTTCCATGCATTTAGATATAAGTAGGTTAGCGGAGATATGAGTCTTAACACTTCCAGCAAAATTTTTATTACAACCAAAATAAACACAAAACATTTTGATTTTAATTTTTGTTAGAAGTTTCAACTTCTCTTGCTCAGCAACGATTTGGCTTTGTGCTACCGCAGAACACTCAAGAGTATAATAGCAGTAACACTAATGTAAACACAGATTCATGCTAATACTTCGAATTATGACATAAAACAGCTCTATCAATTTTAGAACAAAATTACCATAGCATCTTGTAAGCAAGTCTTTTAAAACATAATTTCCGGATACTTTTTACATAGTAGTTTCATTTCACATGGTGAAAAAAAAATATTTTTAACTAAATAAGAAGTTACAATAAATAATTATTTATAATTAAAATGTTTTTGTTATGAGTTAATAAATATTTGAAAATGTATTTATTAAAAAATAAGTAATAATAAATAAATAAATAAAAATAAATTTATTAAAAAATAAAATTAAAGCATCTTTGGCCTGTACACGATTCTGAAAATTGTTGGTACTTTGCCAACACAAATGTATTTGGCAGTTCCAAATTTAATTCTGTCAAGGCACATAGTAAACATACGAGATGCACTAAATACTATAAGAGTTTGATGAACTCTACTCTAATAAAAAGTATTTATGGGATAATTTTACAATACTTTTAGTTTATTTCACAAATGATATAAAGTGCGGTGAACTGGCAATTGCAAATTGTGTCTAATAATTGCAACCATTTCGACATGTGTTCCAAATGTTGATCTCTGATTAGATTTTACATTTTTAAATATCTTATAAAAAGATATTTGTCAGAGAGCATTATTACAGCTGTAAATTATTACAGAATTATACGTTTTGCGAAATCATTTAAGCATTAAATTTAAATTTTCACAATTTAAATAAAAAACTGTTCGAATGGAAGCTATCAATGTCTCAGCCTTAAGAGCACTATTGTACAGTTATATATTTTTACTGAATAAAAATCATTCTGCTTTTGAACGAAGACATATCGCCTGTCATATAACGCCAAGAATGTCGATTGATAAGGAATAAAAACCTTAGAGTCCTCCTCCTAGCCTATAAACAATCACAAATAATGTTACTAAAAGTTATATCCTCTTACATAGAAAAACGACACATATACCTCAATGTCAGATATACTTTGTTAAATGTTAACATAGATTGTGACGTCACGTCGAGAAGCCAACTATACTTTAATCTTCATTTCTAAGCATGGTCATATTATGCTCAGGCGGATATCGGCAACTAAACCAGGGTATAAGGCTTTTAGGGCAAAAATTTTTATCGGTTTTATATGGTTTTATTGTGAATTGCATTTTTCTAAAGAATGATTCAACATTTTCAGTTGCCTTTTCCAGCGAAAATTCATAGAACGATCCTATTTTCAAATAGTTTAAAGGTCAAACTGTTCTTTGAGAAAAGTTTTAAGACGTTTAATTTTTTATCATTATTATTCTTAGCGTGACAGCTCAAAGTAGTACAGTGCTTCTCTCAACCACATCTCTCCGTCTCCTTTTCTCTGCTTTGCCATTCTTCTCTAATTCTGTATTTCTAGAGTTGCTCAATCGGTAAATTTAAATCCTTTTCTTCTTTTGTCAGTTGGAACTGTGAGAAAAGCTCATCACATAATATGGGATGTTTCACATAATATATTGGTTTTTACTACTGTCATACTTTCTAAATAAACTTTTAAAGGCCACAGATATAAATCTATAAATCATTGTCTTTTAATGGTATCAAGCTTCCATAAAATTTAAATATTTCAATATATTTTAAATATTTTATTTAAATTCATTATATTATAATTATATAACAACAATATAATGTTATTGTGTTAAAAAAGTTGGAGAGCTTCAATTCTCTCCAACTTTTCTGTATACATGACACTTCTGTATCCGTTTGTTTTTTGCTATATACTTTGTTTTTAGACAAATTTATTTCCGAGACTGCAAGTACCAGGAATCGAACTCGGGTCCTGCCAAATGTGAAGCTCAGAAGCAGCGCACCTTAACCAACTGACCCAAAGCCGTACTTGACTTTTTATGTTAGATAATTTTTCTGGAGTTTTGTTATTTTGCTAAGAAAGTTTTATTAACAAATTTACTTGCTGTGTTTATATTAGAACGAAATCATGAACCAGCTGTAGAATAATTGAATCCTGGTACTTGTAGTCTCAAAAATAATTATTTACGAATAATTAAATACAAGAATTATTTCCAAGACCACTGATGATTTGGTATTTGGCAGTACTCGAAACAGCTGTATGGTCAGCCAAAAATTCAATTAATTAAAATAATATAAAATGAATTTTTGCTGTTGTAGTTCACTACTTTTCGAAAAAACCTCTTTTCAAATTTATTACCTAAAAGGTGTATATTGTAAACTTTTAGTGAATTAAAAAGTATAAACCTTACATAGTGTAAAATAAAAATTCATTTAATGCAATCAATCACGTAAGTAATTCCTAAAATTAATAATTTACAAATTATTATTCAATTTTATAATAATAAAATTATAATTATTTCGTCATATAATCTACAAATTGTTCATCCATTTTCCAATATAGTCGTGGTTGTATCAACTCTAAGCGACCCATATCTGCGATCCAGATTTGTCCATTAGCACCGTTCTCAATTGCTTTAACGATATTTATTCCGCATATCGCAGTTGGCTGGCATGGTGCATCTTTTAATTTGTCCACATATTCTGTACCATGTTCCAAAAACGCCGTCATACTGTGCCGCACAAATGTTTTTGTTGGACCTGGACATATAGCCATAACAGCTACACCAGTTTTTTCATAATACAATGGATCCTAGCGATAAATGAAAAGCACTTAACAATACAAGCTTAAGATAATTTCAAATTTTCTCACCGCTAAGCTTCTGGTAAAACCAATTACACCAAATTTTGCTGCACTGTAAGCACAAAACACTGGCGATGGATCTAATCCCGTCACAGATGCAATATTAACAACTAAACCACCGCTGCCGTCTTTGCTTCTGTCCATATAAGGCAAAACAGTTGCTGTTGTGTTAATAAGACCCGTTAAATTAACATTAATGGTTCCTGTGATGTCACTCTCTCTGCACACGGTTGCACCATTGATAAGTATGTCGATGTATTCCATTTGTATTATTACTTCATCGAAATACTTTTTCATATCAGAACTTTCCATTGTGACGTTGTATTTCCAAAAGTATATTTGGGTTTTGGGGTTAATCGATTGCAGCTGTGCAATTGCGTTTGGATTTTCTACGCTATGTAAAATTGCCATTTTCTAGCGAATTCAACATAAGTGAAATATCTTACATAAATGCAATTTCTACCACTTACAGCAATATTCTTTGTCATTAGAACTTTACACGTTTCAAAAGCAATACCGCCACAGTCAGCCACATAACAAATATTTTTTCCAGTCAACTCCATTGTTATTCGTACTCCTATTTTGGATCGACTTACTTCATTTAACAGTTCAAGCAAATTATAGTGCACAATAACAAATGAATTTTGTGGAATTTTAATTTAATAGGATTTTTCGTCATTTCATTATATCTGAAATGAGTTTATCAACTTAATTAAAATTATTATCTTCTAAGGTTTGATAAACAATATTCTAAACTAAATTTTTAATTTTAACTTTTAAAATTATTATCGAAATTTTTTTGTTAGTTAAGGTTTCTTCTTATGTATGTCAACATATAATATAAATAAGGTATTTATTTATTTTTATAAACGAATAAAGTTATTAAACGAACGAATCACTTTTGCTAATACAACGAAATACCTTGGTATTACCATTGATAATAAACTCCATTAGCTAAAGTCCAACATTCAAAGAAAATATTTAAACCTCAAGCTATTAAATATGAATGAGTCAATTGCATGTAAATCTGATCTGTCTAAGAAACTATTCAATTTTATACCTATAAAGAACACATTAACGACATTAAATATTTTCGAGATGTAGTGCTGTAGATAAATATAGTCGCTGAGAAAATATAAAACATAGTCATGTAAACAGAAAAACTACAAATCTTCCGTATGATTAATATACGAAACAACATGAGCAGAAATTTCTCATTTAACGCATCAAATTATAGAACCAACTACGATATGTTATATCCACATTTTCCCAATTATAAATCACATTGTCTTTTACACCAAACTCGATGAAAACGGAAAACGATTGAAGAGCGTCCATCGGCGGTTATATCTACCCATACCATTACTTAAGATGGGGAAGAAAATTACTTCTGCTATCATTCGTAGTCTCAAATGACAGTAAGCGGTAGTGCGTTCAGTTAAGTAAACAGGATTATTTTGAGCAGTTAAAGTTTATGAACTACTCAATGGGGAAATTTTTTTCATCAGAGAACACAATCGCATCAAACGTCACATGCACCTTTTAAAGATTTTGTCAAATAATGGCGGATTCAAGCTTAAACCTCAAACCTTTGTCATGCAATACTCTTAAATAATCATGCAATACTCTTATTTTATATATCCTGGTGGAACTAATACCTAGGGTTCGACCTCAACCTCAATCTCACAGTATGTCGCATTACGAATATCAGTTTTTGCACAGCATCAATCTTTTCTGGCACAACAACTTAACAACTGATTTTGGACGACCTTCAAGAATCTCATCAGTGAGTGAGCTGCACCAGCGTTTCACAGTGGCAAAGGATGGAGCTTGATCGCCAAATATGGAAGTAACTTCATCGATACACTCTTGTCTTAGTAATCCACGTCGTTAATAATAATAATATATAATATATATATATAATATTAACATAATATATGTTATATGTATATTTATTATAGAAAATGAAGTCTTTTGATATTGATTTTTTTTATGATTATTATAAATATTGAAATCAAAATCATGAAATATTTTTACTGTGTTATTTGTAATATATACGTATATGTATTTGTATACAATATATCAACATAATTTTTTTTCAACACTTCGAGCCAATTGAGCTGTGAGTTAGTGCCGTGCCTTACCAATGTGCACCCACATTCACATATTTTTGTTATTATTTGTTCAAATATGCCAAGAGAACGAATTTCGATATTTATTCTTAGGGAATTATTTATTGTTCTTAAAAATTATTTATTAAAAAAAAATTTTAATTGCAAATATGCAAATTTGTACAGCCTACAACGTTATTGCTTGACTATGACAGCAGGTTTGTCAGAGAAGTGCGACAGGTCAGTCACTGATGTTTTGAATTCGTGGGCTTGCTCAAGAGTATCAAGTCCCAAAGTAAAGTTACGGTAGAAATCTCAATAGACGCAATTACATAAACAAACAGTATCTGCCGAAGTGGCATAGGAAAGTGTTCTAACACAATTCAAAAGAATTGTATGGCTGCCATTCTTTGCTGCTTTTTATACTTTGTCAACTACTCAAAAGAAAATAATTGAACAGCATGCAAGGCTAGTATTAACAAGGTTAATAGTAGATTTGTATTTAAAAGTGCACTTAATCGGCTTTCGTACCTCTGGAAAGGTAAGCATAAAATACAAAAGCTTCTCTAATTCTTTAGGAAAGGTTAGCATGATTTATTACAATCATTTTTCAGTACCCATTGCATGACTACAATAAAATCAGCTATCAGCTATCAATTACATAGACGATTTTATTATTTGCTGAAAGTACATGGAATTGCGGTACAATGTGTTCTGCAGGCATATATTTTACTTATGGTATTTCCTATTTCGACTACTACTTTTTACTTACCTCTTAAACTCTCTTATTATACTTATTCCTATTACTTTACTATAGAAAAAATCACTTCACCTCACTTCAATCTAAACAATCTATTAAGTTATTTAATTATCTTAATTAAAGTAAGTAATCAAAATTTCATATTTTTTATATCTAAAACCTTTTAAATGGTATTAACTTATTTCAAATTCCATTAATTATAATGGCTTGTACCCAATATGTTTTAAAGACTATTATAATAAAAGTGTTTACTATAACAATAACATTGTAAATTTGATCATCTTCGTTTAAAGTTCCTAAATGTTCTAATGTGTTTTTAATAAACAACCTAGTACTTATGGTCATTCCTCAGAAAATAAAACTTATGTTTATTTGTTGATCATTTCAAAATAATAGTGATTTTAGTGTAAACTCGCTTTTATATCTTTTTTACCTCTTGAGCTTTCCAAAGTAATAAAAACTTAAATTTAAGAAGTATACTATATAATATTATATACCTACTACATACAATGATTTGTGGATTCAAAACGGCTTTGTTAGCTAATTGAGAAGGATTCAGTCATCCCTCCACCACAACAAACTTACTAACTATATGTAAGGATACCAACTATTGTCAATTACGGCATCGACCTCTAGCGCTATCTATTACGAGTAATGTATTTGCAATGTTTCATAACAGTCTTTAAATCTTTATGTTGTCTGTACAATAGATAGCGTTAGTATAAATACCTATTTTAAAAAAGTTATATATACTTTCAACTCAACATTTCATTCTCGTTATCAGGAAATCATTGAATAAAGATCTTTTTATATGCTTCGAATTTACTTCACCCTATATTTGTATTCAGAACAACAAGTATTCTATTAATTTGTGTGTACGATTATAATGCATACTAAATTTCTTAGGTAGATTGTCAATTTTATTACTTCTATTTGAACATGAATTTCATTTTAAATTTTTTTTAATTAACCGATTATCTAACATATCCATGAATGTCAAAGAATGATTAAAATAAAGTTTTGAAAACATTTTTCATTAGTGGCCATTATGAATAATCTATAGGTAGACAATAGACATTTGTCTACTGAGTCAATTGGTAAGCATATTTCATATTATAAAACTTGATAGACACACAAGTGAACTATTGTAAATGATATAAGGGTTTTAGAGCGCGCAGCTTCTATTTAGCTTACTTTGTTATATTCTCAAAATATTATATATATCACAATTAAAAACTGATTTATTAAGCGGGTAAGCAAATAAAAATATAAATAAATTATAACTAATTATTGAATAAACAAAAATAATAAAAATTAAATTGAAATAGACTATAATAGACTATGTAAGCGTTTTAACAGCATATTTTAACTGATCGACAAATTTCTACTACTCAAATGCTATAGAGATAAATTTCTCTACTGAGGATAGAAAAATTTCTATCGGTTTGCAGTTCACAATACCATCATTCGGTTTTGTCTATCAGTAATAGAAACTTGTCTACTGTCTATCAGAGATAGAAAACCCATAATAGGCACTATTGAAACGGCCGTGTGAAAATTTTAATTTTGATATTAATAAATAAATTTTTGTTCTAATAAATTTATGACGATCATGCATTATACTTACATATATGTAAGTAGTTGGATTTTAATAATTTTAAATTTATTTTATAAATTAAAATAAAAATAATTATTTTGAAAATATTTAATTGAACTCCATATCTTATTTCATTACAGCGATGGCAGCGAAGATGGTTCGTACTCTACGACGATGGAGAACTTACTTATTCAGTGGATGAGCACGTAAGTAAATTTGTTTTTTCAAATAGTCTTTCAAAAAGAGTAGGTCAGATCCATTCAATATTAGAATTGTTTAATAAATATTAAAAATTTTCTATTTATAAATTAATTGAACGCAGCATAACTACAAAACTAATTTTATGCGTACTTAAAATAATTTACTATATATACGCTTAACATTTACGGAACGTGTTTATATTTTTCTTTGTTTTAATTATAACTTGCATATATAATGCACGTTAAACATTTTGGAAGGCTATTAAAAAAAATAAAAAAATAAATTCGCTGTTAACTCGTATATTTTTGAATAGATATTATGTGGATTTTGTATGGAAAATACAACTAAATGCTACACACTTATCGAGATTAAAGCTAAAATCACATAGATTTAAGCTTATATATTTCCACTACTTAAAGTATATTCACACTGTCTCATTTAGGCAGTTTTGCTTATAATCACTAATCAGGATGTTTTTCCATACAAAAATCTGTCATATAAATGAGCTTATTTATTGTAAATCAGCTCATTTAAAACAAAAATGTCGAATGCAACACTTAAAAAGAAATCTCCCACAAAGGATATTACCAAAATTCAAAGTGTGTGTCATATGTTTTATATGTAAAATGTAAAGAAACAACAGCTGAGCTGTGATAAAAGTCACTGAGAAAGTAAATATTTAATAAAATCTTTGTTTTTATTAGTTAAATATGGTACATAATTGGCATATAAAACGTACATTTTTGATTTAATAAACCAATTATATTTATAATTTTTTTATGTGATATATTATTAAGTGAAGTTTATAAAAGTTCTATCAGCTGCATATATGAGCTGATTATATTGTGAACGTTTCCTCATTAATATAAATGAGCAAGTGCGTAAATGAGAGAATGTGAATATACTTTTATTTTGTTTCATTATCATAAGTTATTTATTGCATGGGAAAGAACTTTTATGTGTTCTTTGAAAAGTTCTTCCGTTTGTTATGAAAATTTTCACTCAAAAATATGTACCACAAAAAATTAAATATTTAATTGATATATTAAATAATTTAATTATTTATGTATTGTAAAAATATTACATATTCAATTAATGAAAACAAAGATTTTGTTAAATACTCACTTTCTCAGTACGTTTGTTAACACCTCAGCTGTTGTTTGTTTACATTTTACATATAAAGTATATGGCAAATATTTCAAATTTTGCTAATTTTTCTTATGGGAAATTTATGTTTTCAGGTAACATTAGACAATATTGGTCTAATTTTTCTTGCTTTATTTTTATGTAAGTTAAATAACATGGAAGTTATTTGTATGATTAATGAAATTTACTTAGAAAGTTACACTTACTAAGTAAGCAGTGGAAGCATACTATGCTGCCTGCACTTATATTTTAAACTTCTAATATAGGCTAAATTTGCCAAAGCTATATAAGCTATATACAAAACAGGTGCAATTCCTAAGCCAAATGGCATCATTGTCCTAAACTGTGGCAGCTAGTTAGAGTAAAATTTTTTTCAAAACTAAGATTTTTGCAAGCCTAAGTATAATTATAATAAGCTTCACATAATATTAAAAAAAATTTAATCCATAAGCATTTCACAAGAAAGTGTGGCAACCCTGGTATTTTTCTTTCGTTGAAAAATGAAACATAACCCAAAAATGCAAGTTTTAGAATTTTACATTAGCGCGAAATTTGCTTTCATAGTGTTAAAAATAAATAAATGTGTCGGTGTGAACAGCACTTTAGCAGCTTTTATGCTAACAACAATGGCATTGTCGGTCTGTATGTCACAAAATCGTATACATGATATTTAGTCTTAGCTTATGCTTGCTAATTTGTCTAGCCAAGATACAATTTGCTAAGTTAAGATAGCTTCCAAATCGCTTTACTACCAACCAAATCAAGTGAAACGTATAAAAACATACAAAAACATTTATTTAAAATAGATATTATTAAACTTAATTTTTGTTTACTTACAGCCCGAGACAATACCACAAGCTTGTGTAGATATGACCAAAGTATTAGAAGTAACTACTGCAGAAGATGTTACTGGACACACAAATGCCCTTGCTATTACCGCACCCGATCGTATAACATTTGTTAAGGGAACTTGTCCCGAAGAATCAAAATGGTGGCTCAATATATTAGCAGCATTCCCAAAATCAAAAGGACGACACAAACGTAATGCAACTTTTCCTGGTGGACAAGCAACTACTATTATACAAACAAGTTTAGATGGAAGTTCTACACCGATGCGCAATCGCCATAATTCATATCACAAAGATGCTTTAACATCGGTACAGTCAGCTTCTGCTTCAGTTCTCATCGGTAATATGACTAATGATGGCGGTAAAAGTTTAGCGAATGTTTGGAAAAGTAAAGATGCGAATACTAGTTTAGATCCCGATATACAGGACGATGAGGACATTGAAGATTGTCAGCTGGATGCTAAAAAAGAAATTAAAAGTAATGAAACAGGCAATTCCACAAATCCTATCGGACAAGACGAAAATAATCGAAACGCTGGAAATGAAATTACAAATAGAGGTATAATAATAGAATTTAATTTGTTTTAGAGTCAAGAAGCACTTCTGTTAAAAATATTAATCGTATCAAGCCTATATAGATTTAAACTACAAAAACCTTTGAATATAAGTATTGTTTTGTGAACTTAGATATTTATTCAAGAGGAAATTTCTTCAATATCACTGCTAATAGTTCATAAAGCAATAATTCCAATATACATTTATAAAGTAGCAACAAGTGTCCAAATTATACTAGTAAGGTTTCTAAATCTTGGCCTTACATTTTAAAATAGATAGCAAATAATTCAGACTTGATTTCTAGAAATTAGAATTGCTTTCAATTTGACTCAGATATATACAAACTACTGAATATATGTAACTGCCCGAAACATAGAATTCCATTAATCTAACATATTTTATACATTACATTTTAGTTTCTTCATCGTGTTTGCTTATTGAAGATATTCGACGTGATGAGAAAACAATTAAAGATATTGCCAATACAATAACAAACCTAAGTCAACAAAAAAATCGCTGGTCGACAACAACTGTGAACAATGTTTTAAATAGTCATCTTCACCATACAAATTTAAGTCATGATAAAGAAAAGAGTTCTCAAGATGAAACTGATTTCCATCGACCAACCAAAATTGTGCAGATCCAACAACAGCAACAGCAGCAGCAACAACAACAACAACAACAACAAATCAAACAGCAAACAACAGTTGTTAACCTAAGACCAAAATCATTACCTTTGCCATGTAATACGACATCAGCCATTGTTTCAACTATCGTCAAGAAGATGCCACCTGTGTTGGTAACATCGGCTAACTCGAAATGCAGTACATTAGGTGATAGTAACACGAGCAACAATGGCAACAACAACAGCGGTAGCAATAATAACAACATCAGCACCACATGCATTAGTGTCACCAACAATAAATCAAAATCTAGTCCCCGATTACAAATGCACTTCAAACAGCTACAACAGAAACATCAAAATAATCAGGAGCTTCAGCAGCAACAACAACAAACACAACAAGTCAACGAAAGAGGAGACCCAGATGGTGGTTGCAATTTAGATGATCTCTCAAGCAACTATTTGAGCAGTACTGCTGAACTTCGTGTCAATACATTGAAAAAAGAGTCACTTAATGCCAAGAAAGGATGGTTGATGAAACAGGATAATAGGTCTGGTGACTGGACAAAGCACTGGTTTACGCTAAATGGCGCAGGATTATTTTTCTATCGTGATCCTATTTCCGAGGAACGTGGCGTACTAGATGGTGTACTTGATGTGAACAGCTTAACGAATGTTACTGAGGTGAATGCAACTAAGAGCTATGCTTTTCAGTTGGTTTCGTGGGATAAACAACGTTTAACACTTGCTAGTTTATCGCCAAATTCACGGAATAGCTGGATTGGCATGTTACGCCATGCTGCTGGCTTGCATCTTCAGACAAATTCTAACAATAATTCAACCAAAGCAACGACATCATTACTTAGTGGCGAATCCAAACTTTCGGTATCACCGACTGATATTGTCATTAAGGAAATAAAATACGATAATGCAAAAAGCGAAATCGAAAAAGATTTCATAAAAGCACAAATTAATCACGAATTAATGTTGCAAAGTCATGAAGCTGAAATCAACAATAAATCGAAAAATATTGATAATAAGCATATGATAACTGAAACTAGTCCGAATGTAGTTATAAGTACCACAAGTTCAACACCAAAAGTCACAGCCATAAGTTCGATAGCACCAAAGATACAAACACAATTCTCTTCAGATGAAGAATATCGAACAGCATCTGAAGGTGGTCGGCGTGATAGCATTGATTGGGGCTCACCACTGTCACCTTCTCCGCCAATTACTTCGCCGTTAATTCGCAATGCAAAAGATCGTATGCGTCCACGTACAGTAAATTGTTCGCGTTTACAGAAACGTAGTAGATCTTCACCACCCAGTTCAAGGCGTAGTACTGTTGATAGTGTTTGTTCTGATGAATTGCCTATAATACATCCTGTCTTAGAAGAACTCAATATTGACAAAGAACTACAATTTCGTTTATGCAATGCAGAAAAAGAACGTGACACACTACGGAACGAAGCTAAAGATCGCGAAGCTCGTATGTCAGAACTATTGTTAACGCTTGAACGTACAGAACAGGAACTTAATTCGCGAATAAATGAAATGGAAGAAATTCGCGAAAATTTAACAACGCAACTGGATGATGCTAGAAAAAATGCGGAGGAAATTGCTGATAGACTAACTGAGGAATTAGAAGAAAGCCAAAAGAAAATAAAAGAACTGGAATATCGTCTCGCACAAGGCATAGATGAAAATGAAACCCTCTACAAAAAATTTCGAGAACTCGAGGAATGCACTCCAACTAGTTTTAATATATTAAATCGAAGCAAGATCAAGCGTATGGATTCATTAAGTAATTTAACACAGATACATTATATTGATCCATATAGTGTCGAACGAGACTCATTAGCTGAGGAATATAATGAATTGCGTTCCCGTTTTGAAAAAGCAGTAAACGAAATAAAAGCAATGAAACGTGAACTCAAAGAATCGCAAAACCAGTTTGATTCGCTTGAAATATCGTATGCTTCTCTTAAACAAGACTTAGAGCGTAGAGAAATTGAGGATCGGTCGCAGTTACAAATGATGGCAGCCCGCATACAGGATCTTACATTAAAGTACAGTAGTTCGGAGCGGCAGGTACGTACATTAAAGCAAAAGTTGGCTAAATCGGAAAGAAGGCGATCGTTGTCATTGAAAGGTAAAGAGCAACTGTCAATATCAAAGGAGTTAGAAGTCAAAGTATCCGAGTTGGAAGCAAAAATTGATGTAATGGAGAAGCAATCACCTGAACAAAAACCAATTTATCTTGAAAACAAGCAGCTTCAAAAGAAATCTTCCCGTCGTAGATCTTTAGAAAGTTCTGCAAGTACAGATTCACTGCAGTTTATGGTCAGAGTAAATGATTTAGAAAAACGTATGGAGGGTATTTCACCAACATCATATTCCGCTCCACCAACCCCAGCCAGTACGCCAGCTACAGAAAATTTACACAAAAAAACTACTAGCACGCCCAAAATATCTGAACACTTAATTGAAAGACTGAGGGGCCTAGAGATTGTATTAGTTGAAAGCAAAAATCGTCTTGAATTGAGCCTGCAACAGCTACAGAACCTTCGCTCTGCACGTGCCAGACGATCTGTTTCACCAATTACTGATCGTAAAGACTGTTATCGTTACGTAGAACGGTGTATTCATGACGTTGTCAAACTGTTAAGAGAGTCATGTGAAAAATGCACGGTAAGCAGTAGTATTAATCCACCAAGTGTTACACTACCCGAAGCAGGACTCGTAAGAACAGCATTAACGCAGCTTGAATCACAGCTGCGAAACAAATTAGCAGACCTTCTGAAACAACGACGTGTTCTGCGAGACAGAAACGAACTGACAAAACGAAAAGATCTCGAACTATTAGCGGAACGCATTGCATTTGAAAGTGTTTGCTTTGGTAGATTGCGGGATTCTGTTAGTCGTGCTGAAAACCCCGAAACGTTTGGCGAGAGGCAAACTCGTGCTGAAGTTGCAGAAACATCTCATTTGATGATTATGTTGAAGTCAAAATTAAGCGGTAAATCTGCGTTTAAAACAACAGGTAGCTTAGACATCTTAGCTGGTGTACTAGCACGTCGTCTTGTCCTGTCCTCCTATCGCAAGGATAAAGAAAAATTAAATTCAACAATGGAACCAATTGATCAAAACATTCTGGATGATTTATTAAGGCAACAAACTGAAATAAACGTTATTGTGATGCGCTATAAAAACAACGCAATTGAAAACTTAGCCACTGGTTTAGCAGCTGAGACACTCAGTTACATTTCTTCAAATGATTTGGTGCAAGGTGCCGTGCAAGAAGCTTGGAGACAAGCACAGGAAACAGTAAATGCAGAATTGGTGCAGTCGGAAATTGCTCACATTATGATGCGAAATGCTGAGCGATTTGAAAACTCAATAATGCCTGCATTCGGTTACACGCTTACAGCAGAAGAACGACTGTCATTTGAAAAGTTTGCTGACGCAGTTCACGAAACCCTACGCAAAGAAATGGAAAACGCGGTGGACTTGTTAACGCATTGCTATGAGGAAACGATGCAAAAGATTAAACATGGTCAGTGGCGCTTACATTTGGAAGATGAAAGAAAAACCTCAGAAGGCCGACAGTTGTTATCAGAATTTGCTGATATAATTGCTCATAAGGCATTAGTTGATGCTAGAATTGCGGTACTGCGTGGCGACTATTCAGTAAACCAAAATCGGGAACAATGCGATTCGAATGCAAACATTGGCATAACTTCTTTGCAGAAATACGAAAACCTTTTTGAGGAGTTGTCAAACGATTTGCAAATAAATAATCCGGATGACATACTTGCTGAAGCAGATTTCGAATTTCTTTACAAACAAAACACAGTTGATTTTCTAACTGATCGTCAAGTATTGTCCGAAATCTCAGTATTTCTAGGACAATTAGAGGATTCGCTAATTGCACTGCAATGTGAAGCTGACTCATCAACAGCTATATCGCGGGCTGCTATTTCCATTGAAAGTCTGCAAGATGTATGTAACAAATGCTGCGACCTAAGACAACGCGCAGACCAGTTGCTGAAGGAAGTGCATCGCAAACTGAATACACCGTGCCAACACTGTTTGCAAATACGCGATAAATTGCGAAATTTACAACAACAACATGAAACTGAAATTTCACTCCTCCAACAAACCCATACCAAAGATATAAACGTGCTCATTCAGCAGGTTGAAAATCAAAAAAATGCGCTAAAATCGATTGAAATGGAAAAAAAGGTAACCGAATGCGATTTGAGTAAGAGCGCGAAGATCATTGAGGAACGCGAACACGAATTGGAACTTATCATTCAAAAGCTAGCGGCTAAAGAAAATGAACTTATGCGGAAGCAAAGTAATCAACTTGAGCTGTTCCAGCGTTTTGATGACATGGAAGATAAGCTGAATATGTATCAAAAGGAGAGTGAATCACTGACTTTGAAATGTGCACAGCAAGACAAGGAATATGCATTGCTCTTGCAAGAACGCGATTTCTTTAGTTCAGGTCTTAATAAAGAGAAAGAACGAAGCCAAAGGTTTGAAAAGCGACTCGAAATGCTGGAGTTAGAGCACGGCAAACAAATGGAATGCTTGCAAGAAGCATATCGGGATCAAATACTTTCACATTGTACTGATTTTAGTAATGCGCTTGACGAGGAGACATTCAGACAACGATATCAAACCGAGATCGAGCAATTGAGAGTAAGTTGTGATATTAGTTTTGTGTTAGTTGTTGTTGTTATTTATTAATGTAATTATATTTTTTTAGACTCTTTGTGAGAAGGGTTTATCTGCAATGGAATCATCTCATAGACGAATTGTTAGCGATTTAGAAGAGAAACATCGGCAAGAAATCGATCGTCTGTTGATTGAAAAGGAAACTGCTTTAGCAGAAGAAACACAGGTTATTAGTTGTAAAGATATAACTATAGTTTGCAGTCCCGCATTGCGAAAGAAACAAAAAAAATTTGAATACGAGCTGAACTGTCAAATCCTAATTGATCTAAAATATTACCAAATTTAATTGGTTTTAGTTAACCTAACCAATATTATAAATATCGATTTATGTTAATTTTTATTAATTACGTATTTAGATTACTGCTGATTTTAGTGGTTTAGTAGTTCCTGTATGGATCAGGCACATTTAGAATTTAGAATATGGATGCGAGTGATTTTAATAGCAAGTATTCGTGATCTAAGTGGAGAAACCTGACATTTCAATGTGAAGGAGTCAGGGAGCAATTGAGCTCAAATTGGTGTGTGTATTTAAAAATGAAAACAAATAGGCGACATTATGAAGAGTAGAACTACATTTTGGAAACACATTAGGAATTGATACACTTTTGGTTGTAAATTATAGATCAAAAAGAACTCTTTTTTATTGTTTTAGTGGCTGTCCACCATGAGGTTTTACTAGTTCTGGACACATCGAGCAAAAAGAAATACACAAAAGTGTAATAGAATAAAAAAAGATAAAAGTACAAGAAAAAAGGAGGAGTGGGGTGAAAAATCTTAAGAATTAGATCGAGAAAAATTAGATAAACATATAAAAATTATATAAAGAGCAAAAAATTGAATTCTTTACCTTCGATATTACTTCATTGTTACATATTTAAATCTTTTTAGATATAGAATAATTTTCATATATGCCACGATTCTAATTTCCTGAGTACATTCATTTCACAATGAATTTGAATTAAGAAACCTATGTTGAGCAACTCTTTCTACCACACTATTTGTCAATATACATTAATTTTAAGATATCAATATATATAGTAGTATACAAAAAAGTGCTCAATATAGCCTATATTACTGAAACAAACACATTGTGAAATCGACATGCTTTGAAAATCGAGGGTCGTGACATATGTGTACTTAAAAAAAAAAATAGTAATGGCTTTTAATTTCAACTAATTTTTTTATATTACATATTAAAACTTGCTGTGATCCACAATGGTTTAAAGGCGACTTTAGCTGCGTTAGATGCTATGCGCAAAGCTCATCAAAGTGAAGTCCAACGTGAAGTGGCCCATTTTAAACAGGAATTCTTAAAGCAATTTAAGAAAGGTGAAGATACAACAGACGCAATCAGAGTGAATGAGTAAGAAAATATTTTAATTTAATTCTTATTCACATACATAAACTAATGCATTTATTATTCTTAAAATTAAAGGGAAGAGCTTGAGGAGTTGCGTCATGAAATTCTATCCTTCTCCGAAAAGTATTCTATAAAATGTGTTGAAAATGCAGCTTTAGAGGAAAAATTGAGAGTCGTTAACCATAAATTAAAAAATTTTCAACAAATGCAGCAATTGGAATTAAGGTTAGTATAAATATTAAACTGATATCTTAGGAAGTAAGTAAAACTGTACTGGAATTTAATGACGTATTGACTGAATACTTTGTCACAGCGCTCTCTAGTGATTAAAATATTTTCAAATCAAGCAAATGTATCTGTTAGAAATATATCTTGTGATCAAAAAAGAATTTTAATTTTTAATTTTTGAATTCCCGCGCTTATCCAATCGGCAAATTTTTTTTTTCACACTGGCAACACTATTATACACATTCTGTCAAAGTTTAACGCATATCGCATATCGTATAGTTTTTATTTGGCGGTTATACAAAGAAGTTGAAAAATTTTCGTGTCGACGAACGACATTGTGTCACAGTCGCTATTTTAATTAAATTTATTTATATATTAATTTAGGATTCACTAATCATACTGTAAAAATGAAATTTAAAATGAAAATAAATATACATACATATATACATAGTGAAGATTAAATAATATCTACAGTTTAAAATTACTTTCATAATATTTTCCAAGATTTTCTGGTCTTCATTTTGTTATGGGTTAGATATGATAGAAATCCAATCCGTAAGGATTTAATATCCTTAAAGAGTTACTCGAGAAGTTTTTTTAGTTTTAGAATTTATTTATATAAAAATATTAAACTGATTTTTAAGGTCAGTTCAACCGAAAAAACTAAATTCTTAATAAAAGCTGTTATTTTCAATAGAGAGGTTTTCATCGAACAGTAGTAAAATGGCAACAACAATCAATTTTTTATATTATTTTTAATTATTGAATTATTGACTGAGCATACAGCTGTTTTTAGTATTGCCAAATACTCATCATTAGTGGTTTTGGAATTATGTGTTATATTTAATTATTTGTAAATAATTTTTTGAGACTGCAAGTGCCAAGGATTGAACTCGTAACCCGGCAAATTTTAAGCTTATAGTCAGTGCTCATTAGACAACTGATATGAACTAAAAAAAATATTTCTAAGTTATAAGTGGAAATATAAGTATGAGTAAAATTTCATAATATGTTCACGATAATGTTCTTTAAACATTTGCATCTTGCATAAATCCATATCGTTATAAATTAAGTGGAATTAATAAAATTTACTTCATCACTTTTACAGTTTCTTTATTGATTCCAAATCACTTAAGTCCCAAATTTGAAGAATATACTAAAGATGTAAAATTATCAGGACACATTTTTCATTACATTTTAAATGGTTTATTTAGTTGGAGAATTTTTGTATGTAAAATAAAGTATTCATTGCTAAAGTATTTCTACTTTCCAGCTGCAGTTCAAATTTTTTTGTAACTATTAAGACTTTAAGACATATATACAAGCATATTATGTTATTGAAAACCAATTTAAAATTAATAAATATTATAAAGTAGCGTCTTTACGAACAAACGTTAGATAAATGGTCTGATTTAATCTTTATTTTAATTTCTAGTTTAATTTTTGATTTAAAAAAATTTTTAATCTAGGTTTTTGAACTAACCCTAGGCTTGATTTTTAACTATTCCCTCAGGTTTTATTATTTCTTTGTTTTCAATGCACAGTGCGGGTTTGTTATCAATATTTGCAATGGCAGATCTCATCTTTAATAACTTTATATATACAAATAGCTTACGTTAGATTAGGTATACTGACGATTTTAGGAATCCACTTAGCCCTATAGGTTCATTGTATTATCGTATAAGAAGCAAACAAAAGAACCTTGCATCTCCTAGGTTACTGTCTAACGCATTGTGACTTCGATTAATCATGCTATCAACTTACTTTTTAAAGTAAGTCTACTTTTTAGAGAATGTCAGTTTCAAGAACTCCCTTTAGAAAGCATTTAAAGCTAATGGTAATTTCGGAAGACCAACGTTTTATGTGATGCTATAAGTGATATTATCAATTTTACTTACCGAAGCATTTCTATTCGGGCCGGCTTTGATTTTTTTGATAAGATGCAGCTAATGATTCTTCACTGTTGTTTTAATTGTATTACTTTAATATAAATAATATAAAAGATACTAAATTCATTAATGTTAAACTATATATTATTATTTTCATTATTATTACATTATTATTATTATTATTATTTTATTTTCGTTTTATGACGAAAATAAACTATTTGAAAGTTAGAAGGATTCGAATAAAAATGAAAAGACAACAACAAATACTTTAGTTAATTTATTAAACTTTGCTGTTTCGAGTATTGCCAATTACTCAATTTAATTTATATTTTTAATCAGATATGATTTTTTATTAAATTACAGAAATAAACAATTTCGTGCACATCTGGCTTCAGAAGATACAACGACTGATTCATCTTTTGTTCAGGATCTGAGTTTTAAAGATGATATAGCTAGTCGAGATAGTGAGGTAAGAAATGCGTTAACAGTTGTAAGGTAAAACTTTTTGTAAAATATGATTATGTATATATAAATTATTAAAAAAAAAAAAAAAAAGAAAATAATATTAAATATACATATTCATATGTATATACGGCATATGGCATGTTATAATACCTAACAACTTATAGAATAACATTAACTGTCACTAATATAGTTAAAATACATTCATACATATTGACTAATAAAATATTATCACCGAATACGTAATGTATTGATGTTGTTTGTACAAAAGCTAATTACACACGTTGAACAAATTGTACCTCAAACCCCGGCGATTGAAACAAACCTACTATCATGTGAAGAGGGAAATGATGGAGCAGCACCACTTGAAGCAGTCATAAATACTAGTCAATCTAATTCAATCAAACCCGACGTACACTTAACTAAAAACATAAGAGTGTGTCTGGAAATACCTGCGGAACATAGCATTGAAAGAAGCTGTGTTCAAAGCACCGCAGAAATACAGATAGGAGAATTAAAAACCAAATATGGAATTGATAATATGGATGACGATGAGAGTGAAGACGAAGGGGACAGCGATAACTGTAGCTATTCGTATGAACCTTGCTACAAACCATATACATTTCATGACAGGATAAGTTTTGAAGGTAACGTCGATATATTGTACTCTGTTGGGTGTGTGTAAAATGTCATTATAATATTCTTCAAAAGACTGGAAGCACTCTTCTTTCTTCTTTTACCTTTTTCTCTACTTCTTAAGGTTTTTTCGTACTAACTTTTAATGTATTCACTTTAGTACAGTTTTTTCATCATAATATTTCGTGATTCTTACATTTCTACGAAACCTGCTATATCTATATGCTGTATGCTTTAATATGAAAAACTTTCATTTCTGTAAAATTCTTTCGTTATTTTGTAAAAATTGTATGCATTTATTATTTTACACATAAATTTAATAAAATATGTTAAATGTTACTTATTTAATCACAAAAGACCTCATACAATCTATATAGTATTTGTTTATTAAATCATTTACTTTATTTGTGTAATGTTCTATTACTATATATTTTATATTTTGTAATTTTGTCATAAAGCCTTTATTATATATCAATAACTAAAATTTATTATTTTTATTTGTTTAATTAATTAATTTATTATGCTTTTATTAATAAACAGGGTATGTGTAAATTAATGATTGTTAATATATGAAGCTTTTAAATAGTGATTAAGAGTCTAAATACTTTACATGATTTCATTTATTTTATTTGTGTTTTTAAAGTATTATAATAAATATTAAACAGCAATGAGATTTTTATGAAACCAATTATTTTGATTCGAAATCGTTCCCCCTTGGACTCAGTACAAGATTTAAGTGCGTCGAATGAGTGTATGAGGTTGTCGGCCGAGATATATTTCATGAGTCCTTTATATAACTTAGATACTCACAAAAGGCTTGTCTTTCGTTGGCAAAGCATTTTTTCTAGAAAGACAAATCTTGCACGGTATTACATCTGGATATGTTGATATTGAAATATTGATAATTTCAAATAGAAAACCTCACTACAAATACCCTCTCTTTAAAAGTTGTGTTAAATTTCGAAACCACCTTATATATGTTTTTGTATTATTTTGTATTATTATTTTATTATATTAATACAATTTATTATATTAATAATATATTTATATAAGAAAATAAAAATGAAAAATTTTTATTTGAGTGGAGTTCAATTTTCAATATCCTCAATATCTCTCACACACATATACTATTTTTGTTTAAACTTGCTTGCATTTAAAAAAAAAAAACTCATTAGTCATATAACTTGTTTAAAAAAAACGTACCTTCTATCAGCCACCATTTTCCTGTAATGTAGTCATCTCCATATAAATGCAGTATCCTGCATTGGGAGACTATATTTGTACTGTAAAAAAATTCTGAATATGTCCCCACCTAGCATTTCCCAGAAAGAACGACGACTTCCCCATGCATCAAAAACAGCCCAAGCTCAATTAAGATCCTGTGTCCTTTATGGTTTCGTCCATTTCAATTTTAATTTCACCGATTCCCAATTCACTCCTTGTTCATCATAATCCCTTCCACTCTCACATAATCATTACCTAACCTAACCCAGGTATTCGTCATGTGATTCTTTCCTTGTTATCTGCTTTACAGATTCCCACTGTATTATTGCTGTAAACCAACAAAAACAACAACGTTAAGAAGCAAAATTAGACAATTAGACCGGTTATTTCATGTACTAATAATATATCATTGCACTAAACATGTTTAAGTTGCTGCATAACACTGTTTTACATATACATACTAAAGTTATCTTTGTTTCACATTTAGGGGACTCAATAGACCCTTATTTCTTTACGGAATACTACTTCGATTGCAGATCTAAGCAGAAAGAAACACTTCCTCATATTCCTATTTCATTCTCTTGCCTATTCCTAAGGATACTCGGTGTGAAACTGAAATCTATAAAAAAAATCGAAGTTCGTTCACTTTTGATATATATATATATAACTTTTTTGAACAATTAAATATCTTTTAATATGATTTCGTCAAGCAGTCTAGCATTTGTCGTTTCTTTTTATATTTTTAAGACTAGATGGTTCCATCTATCGCTTATTAGTAATTGCATGATATAAACCCATCCAGTCATAAAATGAGCGCATTTTATGGGGACACATATGTTTCACCATCATATATATATATATATATAGCTTTTCTTTTTGTTGAAATTATACAGTATCAATTAATTAATTATAAATTAGTCTAATTATAAATTATTTAAATATTCACTTTTATGATCGATGCTTTATCAGAAAGCAGTCGAAAGCACTAAATTTAGAACTCGAATTGTGTTTGTATACCTCAAGACTATGTATTGTGACTTACAGTATGCGATAAAAAAACAACAATCGATCATGATTCATTTGTTAATATTAATACGTTTTTATGTTAATTACTTGTAAAAATTAAAATAACTCACTATAAATTTTGTTTGAAATTCTACTAAATTCCTTCATGTCTTCATTTATGTTTCTTATATATACTAAACATACTAAAAACATATTCTAAATATCATTGTTTTTAATCGTCTTTTTATTTTTTAAGGTTTAAAATGTTCAACATTTGGCAAAAATTTAAGATCAACTTCTAAAAAATCCGTTATATCAACAGCAACAACACCAACAGGTTCAAACAGTTCAGTAACTACACAGCAATCATCATCAACAACATCATTGTTGTTACATTCGAAATATATCGATAAACATCAAGTTAAATTAAATCACGATCGAATCCCGAAGTATCGAAATCAGCCAACTCGCGAATTAACTGCAACGAAAAATATGAATCATTTAAGTGTGGAATCCAAAGAAAAGAAAATGGGAGCTCAACAAGAGACTTCCACAAATCAACAGGCTCAACAGGCTCAACAGGAGTTGCAATTATTGAATAATGATATTAGTTGTAAGGAGGAGAATATAGCAAAAAAAGACGAGCAGAAACAAGCAATATATGATTTAAGAGATAGAGGCCCTTTACTAATAAAACCAGTGAAACAACCAAAGACTCATAGTGCTAGCACATTTAATTTAAATGTTAATAACTTTTCTAAGAGTAAAAATTATAATATAACCAATACAAACAGTAAGGACACAAAAATAAGACAAACAAAGCACACACTTAATTTAACAAACCCATATAAAAAACATAATCATAGTATTAGTCATTCGAAACAGAGCATGATTCTTCTAAACAATAAGCCGGCAACAGCAACAGCAACAGAAGTTCGTTCCACAAATCAGACAATAACTGAAACAACAAATATAAGAATCGCTGAAAAAATTGCTATAAATTTAGAAAGTTTTGCAGATATCATTAAGAATACCAAAGCAACAGAACCCACTCTTAAGTCTGCAACTGTAATGCCCCTACAACAGACTACAGTGGCAAGGACTGTAGACAATCCAGACATACAATCAACAGTTGCAGTTCAAAGCACAAAACAGGAAATATTGTCACAAAGTAAAACAGATATATTTCAAGTTTCAACGGATCTAACAACAAATGATGTTGATGATGAAAAATGCAGCTCAGCCGATGATAGCATCGCTATCTATAATAATCGCAGTAGATCACTAAACGCATCTGTCAGTAATCCGAGTAGCAATACTTCAAAGCCTCATAATAATACTAGCAATAAAAGCAAAATTAATAATGATGGATTTAATAAAAAGAAAACACTCGGAAAAAAGCTTTGTTCACCCCCTCCCTTAAGTGGAAGGGACGTCGAGCAACATTTTGAAACTGAATTTGTCGGGACTGAAGGAAATGAGAACTGGCAAATCAGCAAAATTTCCGTCAACAAAAAGACTTTTCCCTCACAGTTGGGGCAATTCGAACTGGAAATTTAGCAGGAACAACACATATATATAAATAATATATATATCAGATGGTTCATGAACTATTATAATTATTATAATGCAAAGCAGACATAATATTTTATTTTAAAATACTTAGTCATAATGCGACTGTTTTATTTGTTGTTTTATCAGTATAATTCCCTTTTGTCCCTCATTTACTTTACCAACACTTCATTGTTTTTCTTTTGTATTTGTATATTTAAAACCCCTGTTTGCGTTGCCAAATATAATTTTTACTTAATTTACAAAAATTGGTGTTAATCAATAAAAAAAAATAATATATAAAATGTGTCATTATCAATTGTTAAATATAATTATAAAATCTTTTCATAACATTGTTCAAAGTTTTGAAAACAATTTTAATATAATCTATACATTATCTTAATTAAATATAAAGAAAATATTATTTTTACTAATATTAATATCCATGTTAATCGTTGTGTTTTGTTAATCTTTGAATTAGTTTATAAATAAATTAGTGAGAAATAACTTACAAACATTATTGTTTACCCATATTCGTATCTATGTATACACATACATATTAATAAAATATAATCATTTCAAATGTAAAAAATATATACGCTGTTATCTATTATATTTTCAATAAAAATTATTTAAACTTGTTAAAAAATTATATTCATTTCTATTTGAACATTTGTCAATAAAAATATAAATATGGTAATAATAAAATATACATAATATATATATGCATATATACGCATATTTATTTCCATCTATATATATATTTATCTCCTTGTCAATGCTAAAAATAATACATTATATATATATATTTATATCACATTATATATGTTATATATATACTATATTATATATATATATTATATTACATATGTTATATATATATTATATTATATATATATATATATATATATATATATATATATGTTATATATATATTATATTATATATAAATATATATATTATATTATATATATATATAATATTATATTATATATATATATAATATTATATATATATGTATTATATCAGAGTAGAGAGGAGAAAAAGTAGACTTAGTACCTAGCGAGCTAGATTTATCTAAGCCAGAAAGCAACGGCTTACTAGGTTATAGAGAAGGGGGTGGGGTTAGAGCAAATAAGCGAGGGTGAGGTTAGCGGTAAACTTTGTGACTGGGGTCACAAAAGTCGTGACTGGTGGACAGATATTGGGGAGGTTAAAACCGCAAGGCTAGAACAAAATCTTCAGGGAGAGTAATAGGAATAGAGACGTTAAAGGCGTGGTCATGGAGCCGGGTTAGGTACCTACGGGCGAGTGTCAAAAGATAATCGCCAATGCGAATAATCTTGGCATTGTCGTAAAGGGCAGAGATGGGGAACTGCTTGCAGTCAGGCTAGCACTTAGAGTTGGTGCAATCCCAAAGAAGTTTCCGCGCAAACAGATGGATTGCCTAATAAATCTAATGTCAAATAAAAATAAATTGTAAACAATATAATAAATCTGCGTTGTGAGAACAAAATAAGAAATTTAGAGACTTGTTCACATTTTTTTTGTTTAAGAGGTATTTAAGTGGATTAAGGAATATATAAATAAACTTTAGGCAACATAAACAACAAAAAATGAATCAAAAGTTATTGAAAGCACATACCTTTGAATAAAATAAGATTTCTGAAAAAAAACAGTTCTTTTCTCTATTTACAATTGAAAGTGTTTGCGTTTGGATGCGAAGGTAACTTCTTTTTTAAGACTACTATTTCATATATATAACAACACATTTGAAATGGTAGGATCTCTTCCTAAAATCGTAGTTTTGAATTTCGCTTTAATTTTTGAAATTAAATCAAACGTCCATATTCCGCTGAATGATGGCTATCATAATCTTTGCCATTGCCATCTAAATACTATTTTTTATTCATGCTAGCTTCGATGTGATTTCGGACATATTATATGTGTTAAGCAGTTAATTTCTTAGAATCCAACTAGGGATATTGAGTAAGCAGACAAGATTGTTGAAAAACTATCGGTTTCACAATATGTGATAAGAATTTCAGGAAGCAGAAACAGCACAGTACAAGTGAATGCATTCGAAGTTGATTTGTCACATAGAATGTGAATATAAGTCTCAACATTCTGGTTTTTGTCACACAAATCGATCCATTGTGTTGAGATGATAACAAGGTAGGCCATGGTAATTCATCGTTTTTCTGAATTACAAAACCCCTGCTTTAAGTTGAATGACATTTAAGGTTGGTGGTTTTTTTTCGATGAAGTTATCGAGTTATCGGACAAGTTATTTTGTTTAGTTTCCCTTGTGTATCAGTTAAACGTTCGGAACAAAAACTTAGCGGTTGGAAATTTTCTTCAATCAGGTGCTGCAAAACGGGGTCAACAGCATCCGTCTTGCATGCATGATTTGATGCATCCACCTTGAGAGACAATTGAGTGTTTCCTTTTGTAAAAGCAGATGCGTTTCATCGTGGACCTGGATCTTGCATAGTTTGATAGTAGTTTTTTCCTCGTCAGATCACTCTATGACAATCTTGTCATTTTTCTTGTTGCCAAGGTTGAGCTTGTTTAGGGCTGCTTGTTTAGTCATCGCGTCCGGCAGAAATCAGCAGTAAAAGTTATTTATTGCCAAAAAAAACATTTTGGGTCCCAAATGCGCTGGGGTAAATTAAATTGGGTTATAACTTCGATTTTGTCAGATGTTGGTTTAACGCCATTCTTGTTATTTTGAATCCGGGAAAAATAACTTCATTCTTATCGAAGTTGCATTTGGAACGATTTATTCCCATCTCGAATTGTTGTCCTTTGGGTTTATTTGTGTTATCATATATTACATATGTATAAGGTTGATAAGCATTAGTTTTCTTTTATCGGTCGTTCTTTGTGGGTTGTAGTAATAGGCATGCCACTGAGATAATTGTGTTGTTCCCACAGGTGCAATATGAGTTGGCACATGACATAAGTGATAACACATTTAATTCACCAAAAAGAGCGGCGTTAGCCCAAATCCAATATAAGTCTCTTTCTACCAAATATTTAGATTGGAGATTTACCAGCTGCAAAGAGTACATATGCTTGTCTGGACAGCGTTCCTGTTGAGAATTGGGTGAACTGACCCCAACTTCAACTTTCGCATCAACCAAGAACTTGAGACCTGAGTTTTTGTCGGTAACATGCTTGAAATTGTCTGTTTGGTATCGCCGTTAGAGACAAATGATCTCGTTGCTGTACGGTTCATTGCACTTCTTGGCGTCATCATCACAGTCGACACTGTCTCTTCGGCTATGGTGTCTTGAAACTGCATGGCTATAAGAGCGCCTAAGTTCAGGTCTTGATTCAACTTCTTCTTGTATATTTGCTGGTGAAGTCAAACAGCGACGACTGTGTTAGTTGTCTGCAAACAGAATTCTGCTCTAGCCAGAATTTCGGCGAATGTGTTAGTTGCACTCCGGCCAGGTTTTTAATTTCATGCAGGAGTTAAGAAGTTTGCAAATCTCCCAGATCCATCGCTTGCAGAAGTTTTCTCAGCCTGTTCCGTAGTAACACCTGTTCGAACCACAACTGTGGCCTAGTATGCTAGAGGGAGGTATATTGACCACAATACGGGAAACTACTTCACTAGGTGGATAGTCTTATTTCTTAGATTAAAGCTTAAATCGGAACAAAAAAAATACATATAGCGTAAGAGTTGAAGCGGATTACATAGACATAATTCCAAAAGGCGTAAGGGTTGAAGCGACTTAAATAAACGAAATTCCAAAAGCTTTAGAGTCGAAATGATTAAAACGAACAAAATTCTAAAAAGCGTAAACGTTGAAATGACTTGAGTAGAAAGAAATTCGAAAAGCGTAAGCGTTAAAATGACTTGAATAAGCGTTAAAAGTAGAATCTGCGCTGAATCATTAGAAGAGGGAAATTCTAAATAGCAAATAAGTTGGGACGACTGAAACAAACGTAGATGCTAGAGCAAACGTGGAACTGGAGCAAATGTGGAACTGGAGCAAACGTAGAGAGAAATACTCGCGCTGAGTCTTCAATGAGGATAAATATCAAATAGTGTAAATTAGGAAAGTGGAAAGTTGCTTGAATTTAAATGAAACCCCCCTTGTCTGCTAAAGCCAGGCAAATAGATCTTCTCGTCGTTACGCCTGCCAGCGCAGATCAGCTATCGCCAAACGCTCGTTGAGTTCACATGTTTTTTAACAGTGTTCGTGACTCGTCATATATTCCTACATCAGTTTTGGCCAAATGGAAGTCCGGATGACTGGTTAAATTAACCTACGCCAGCATAAGCCAAGCAGAAGGCAACTCGACCATTGTCACATCACCTAGACCAGTTCACCCATTCACATGGTGATCGTCGGAAAAGACCAAATGAATCATTAACTGTCCAGACCAACTAGTCCGAGCTCCGAATGTTGTCCCTAGGAAAGTCCTAACATAGTACTATTGATTCCCCATTTATTTTGCCATCAGCAATGGTCAAATTGAAATTCGATTGGCTTATTAAGTTACTCTTCGTCAGCATTGGCCAGACGAGCTCCCACTAATATTCTTGTCATGCGCAACTTATGCATATAATGCAGATAAACAAAAGAAATAGTTACAAATTTAACAAATTTCGCCAGTGGAAAAAAAAATTCAAAACATGATTTGAAGTTTACAGGGTCACTAATAAAATAAAAAATGGTTTTTTAAAAAGCAAATTTTTTAAAATCAAAATTTTGAGATTTACAGGGTCTTCAATTAAAAAATAAGTGAACTAACTAAATTCAAAACTAAATTCGAGTTAATTCAAAATTTGAAAGAGGTAATTTAAAAGAAAAAAACGGATTTTTAATGAGTAAATTTTTTAAATTTAAAATATGTTAGGATTTGTGGAATTAAAATTTTAGTAACGTTACAGTATTAACAGCTCTTTAAACATTGAATATACTTATTATAATAAGACACTTAGAACTTCAAAGGCTACACTCTATAAGTGATTTCATTTGCTAACAGAACCTAAATATTTCAAATTGAATTGGTGCGACCTATTAATTAATTAAACATATGGCCTTATATAAACAAAAACTGCATAATCAAAAAAGTCAAGAAGTTAACGCTAGTATGTAACGATCAGCATAAACATAAACAGATGCACCTTAGAATTGTACTCCTTACATGATGACCATGGGTGAACCATGAAGTCAGTATGTAAAAAACTTCTCCCTTACCAACGTAGTTAATCAATGTCTTGTATATAGGACATCACTTTGTATACATTCAGAAATGTTTCACTGCACCTTATTTCGTTCCAATTTGTTTCCTTGCAACTATACATTAACTATTTGGCAGCCTACTTCACTCTTTCGGAAGTGAAGTGTTGTGTTATATGAAGAAGGATGCCTCAACGCAAGCGAACAAATATGTCGGGGAAAATTTCAAATAAAAGGCAAAAATGGTTCGATTGCCCAGTGTGCGATGGACAAAACACATGTTACGTCGAAATGTGAGTATATGTCGAAACGAAATGTATCCAATTATAGTCTTACCTATAATGTTTCTTCTCACATTTCCAGGGTAAGGAAAGAATCATATGCTGTTGCCAAATGTGACATGTGTCACGAATCTTACAACACTCGGATTACTAATATATCCGATCCAATAGATGTGTATTGTGAATTTGTCGATCAGGTGGACGAAGAAAAGAATTCATAAAAGTAAGATTCTGTTATAAATATTAAATGGACTACCGTCAATTAATTTCAAAATTTTTTTTGAATTCTTTTAAAACAGGTGAAAGATAATGGAGATGAACTAAATGTAATAAGACAAAAAAAAGATACTATAATAATAATATTCGTTATACTCGTATATATGTTGATTGCTGAAAAATTGCTGAAAATATAGAACAAATATATTCGACTCCAGATTTTTACCAAATTTACAGTTTAGTTTTCACTACAACATTAAATTAATTCACATTTTAAAAATATAAAATGTTAACAAATTTATAATTTTTCACAATAAAACATCTGTGAATGAAATGCTATCATAATCTGTAATCTATCATAATAATGAAATATTGAATAGATTGTATTTTATTATTTAGACGATATATTATCTTTAAAGACACTGCGTAAAAGAAGAAAAAATCAAGAAATATGTGTTGTTTATGTATAATTTTCCAAGAAGTTTGGAGGTTTGTCTTGAAATTCAAATTTTTTTCGGGCATTATTGCCACATCACTTCCCTACCACTGAGCTTCAGAGATGTGACATTATACCCACTACTCTATTCAGACAGTCACTGGAAATCCAATACGGTTTTAATTTCTTAACGAGGTCTACCTGCATCAAATATGCTACTTCTATTGGGCCAATATTGACTTGGACAGGTTCCCTATAATGAAAATGTCATTATTTAATTTTGTGATACAATCACCAATTCTCTGATAGTACATGTACTATATATACTAAGTGTACTTACTGTAAATGCACTGCAAAATATAAAATATAAAATTTAAACAATTACTTAAATTGAAGTAAATTGAAGTTTTGCATTTGAATCTTATGTCTGTTTCTTGGTGAATTCCACTAAGAAGTCTGGTATCGCCTATAAACTTTATTAAATTTATTCAGAATTTATGACTTTACGATAGCTTGTATTAATATATATAACTTAATATTAAGTAATCAACAGAGAATAGTGTATGTAAAATATATAGAAACTTTAAAAACATATTATTGTCATATTATTTTATCATCCAAAAAGACTATTAATGACTTGGATTTTTCTGTTGGAAGTCGGACTAACTTAAGACCAGTATTAACGGTAAGTTATCCTTCCTAGATTGATCCTACATATATAAAAGTTGAAAAGTGAATAATGTAGGCGTTATTATATTATATCACAAGTAAATAAACTTGAATCTAAGAGTTTTATATAACATATGATACATTACTGTGTTCCACTTAACTACTTAACTACTTCCCTAATAAGTCTTCAATCACCACATTTCATACTCGCATTTCCCTAACCAGTCAAACACCAGTAACAAAACAAAAAGAAATGAGCAGAAGCGGGAGTAGTTGAAAATACAGTAATTGCATGAATTTTAAGTCAATGTTACTAACTCTTTTAAGTGGTTGGTTCTACGTTCTCATCGTGGGAGTAACTAAAGTTAAAATAGTCCAAAACGAACTAATCCCTGACGGACAATTGTTTTGTGTAAATCTCATTATTCTCTTAAATAGCTGATATATTGCTAAAGATATAACTGTAGTCTCCTGCTAAATTTATCGAAGGTCATCAAAGACGTATTACGAGTAATACATGAAAAATATTCTTGCTGATATCATATAAGTTATGAGCTAAAATCACATGCAGCAATTGCATTTAAGACTAATCCTAATGCAGTGCAGAGATTAAGTTATCGTAAACGTTTCGTTGTGCCACGGGACTGAATGAACTGAATGACCACATACAATAAACCCACATTATGTTTGCCGATATTCAAAGAGATTTGGTTAGTGGCCCATTGAGTTTATGACAACACAACACTTTAACTTGCATCGTACATCAAAAATCGCATTTTAATTCGATTCAATCATGGCGAATACTTGTATTGTCTCTATTTCATAAAATTAGTATAAGTATAGTATAGTATAGTATAGTATAGTATAATAATGAAATAGAATTCGGATATCATTCAATTTTTATTTATTCAGCATATATCATTTTTTAAAATAATGTGCATTATTGGGATACGTCCTTCTTAATTAACGGCATCGCAAGCATCTATCCATTCATTGTAAACGTCTATCGGATCAGACAAATAGGTAATCGTGGTCTGATATTCCACCTCACAAAATCGACATTTAATTACAGCCACTTTTTGCTTTTTATTCCTAGAAAAAATAATAATTCTGAGTCAATTATTATAAGCATTTGTCCTGGTTTGTACTTGCATTGTAACTGTACAAGACTTTGGATTGTTGCAAAATGGACACATGAAATACTTTTGCAATGGTTCAATCAACTTGCGCTTTGGTGGTGGCTTCCTTTTTGATTTTCGGCGAACCATTTTCAATTGAACGATACCGTCTCTTCTCCTCAACAAATTCTAACGATATGAAGTGAAATTAGTGATAAAGCAAATTAATATAAGATTATGAAATCGTGAAGTTGTACAGAAACGCTATGAAAACGGACCTCATGGGAACATCATCTTAAAGGAAGTATAACATATATACTTATAAAGTGTAAAATTTATCCCCACATGCATTGCAAATATATCTGCGAATAATATTTAGATTTACAAATTGACCTAACTCCTTCTACTATAAAACTTGTGAAATTCGAATCTATTTAAGAGTTTTATTCAATTATTATTATCATCATTAATGTAATGTTTAATGTAAACATTACATTAAATTCATATTAAAATATTATTTGTATTGTTGAGATGGTTGAAGCATTTGAGTAATGCATAACCAAACCGTGAATTATTATTATAATAATTCTGTTAAACCTAATATCAAATAAGAATATGGTAAATTGTAAACAATATAATGAATCTACATTGTGAGAACATAATAAGGAATTAAGAGACCCGTTCACGATCTTTTTGTTTGAAAGGTATTTAGCGGATTAAGGAATATATAAATAATTTTCTGTAACATAAACAACAATGAAAAATCAAAAATTATTGAAAACTCATGTTATAAATATTTATGGGCCGTATACCGTCAGGAAGTCTCCAATCCTGTTTTTTTAAAGCTAAGGCTAAAGCTGTAAAACTAAAGTTCGTCAAATGATATGCGGGTTTTGTTAAAGACAGTGTGCCTCCATGTAACCTGCGGTTTCCATTACAGAGTAGCGTAGCATGTTTCGTCATGTGGTTTTTTTAGTGTATGGTATGTACCAACGAAGAAACCTTCTAATTTGTGTGTTGATGTTTTCTTGGCCTGCAAATATATGTGTTAATTGAATAAGATATATGCTATATAAATAATAGTTTGGAGGCATACAAAGAAAATTTTACATTTGGGCTAATATTGATATTGTTCAAATCATTTTTGTAATGTTGAATTATTTTAATAAGAACTTTATTATGAAAATTTGATGGGATGGCACATTGAGTGATTACAGATGATATAAATCGTAGTTACGCGTCACCTAGAAAAAGAAGAAACAATTTCCATTTCTATTTAATTTGCGCACCCACTTCCTATGTATGTTATTTATTTATTACGAGTATAATAATAGACTTAACATACAACTCTAAATATTTTAAAATCAATTTCAAAATTTAATTGGTCTTAATCATCCACATCCATGTTTAAGTTATTTTAAAAAATTTCTCTACGAGTGTCACAGGGGGATAAGTTTTTCTATTGTTGTAAAAGAGATAATGTTCAATAGTGTTCGCCTTCGATTTCGATTTCGTCCCAATTTTATTGTTCCAAACGCTTTTTATATTATCCGTGTTTGCTTGGAAATTCATACAGAGTAGTGAAACCATAATTGGTGCGTCATATTAACCCGCCGTCCGGTGCGTAACGTTTTAGTAAGACAGTCCGTCGCGTAATTTTCTTTTTTATTTTAATGAAGTTTTAATTACTAATAAGTCAAAAAACTGTAATAAAAGAAAAAAGTAAGATGATCGATAGTTAAATAAAAAATTTTACAGCTCGAAATTGCATGTTTTTAATTTGCGCAATCTTTGCAAATTGTTTCGCTGTGTCTTGGGTCTGCCCAAGCTTTTTTGCACCCAACACATATTTTTGTGTATTTTCTATATTGTGTGAAGATTTATGTAGTCCAAATATAGAGTATGCCAATTAAAGCTTTCATTTCGATAGTGTTAGTTTCACTCGCACCACGACTCCTCTTATAGCCATGTGAGACCATTTTAATTTGTTGATTCGTGAAATTAACAATATTGTGTATCCAATCATTAGAAAATATGAGATTCCATGTTTCAAAGATAGTTTTAGCTTTATTATTACATGTTGCTTTAGGCCCTGGAGATGAGATATAATGTTGCATTGACGTGTTCGAACAGCTTTATGTGGGGGATCTTTATTCCACTTATAAACAAATGATTTATTTCACTATTTTGTTTGATCTGTAGTATTTAATTCTAGAGTTATACAGCTGTGAAAGAGGAATGTCATCATCACTACTTGGTATTATATTTTCTGTTGTATTAGAATCACATTCTTGTTCTGATTCGGAATTATGTTCACAAATTTCAACCTGATCAATTTCAGTGTCACTTTCTATAAAAAAAATATATATGTTATGTCTAACAAATCACTTTATCAAAATCAAAATAAAAATTCTTTTTACCGCTACTTCTATCAGAGTTGTCTATTATTTCAATGTCACAGTCCTCATTTAGCCATCTCAAAATACGAGCTTCTAGTATTGGATTCATTTCTTTGCAAAAAAATTTTGTAACATAAACAGTCGCGTGGGGTCATAAAGCACCCAACAAAACAAAAAACACCTGTAATTCATAACCGCTGATCGTAAACTGAATAAAACCCAATGGAATGAGTTTAGTACAGAGTTTTATGAAGCTACATAAAAATACAGCAGCTAATTTTTTGTCAGTGGTGAATTACCTCTTTTTTCACCCCATGCGCCGGACGGCGGGTTAATTAAATAAAAATGCGTCCTTATATAAACAAAAACTGCATAATCAAAAAAGTCAAGAAGTTAACGCTAGTATGTAACGATCAGCATAAACATAAACAGATGCACCTTAGAATTGTACTCCTTACATGATGACCATGGGTGAACCATGAAGTCAGTATGTAAAAAACTTCTCCCTTACCAACGTAGTTAATCAATGTCTTGTATATAGGACATCACTTTGTATACATTCAGAAATGTTTCACTGCACCTTATTTCGT